GGTTCTTCTCATAGGAGTGTTTGACCTTTGCTAAGACATTCAATTAACCCTCAGGACCTGAAGGAATTAATCTGCCATGGTGTAATTAAAGGCCCCACAAGGTGTCCTGGGGGTATGGTGTTGAGTGGGACCTGTTCCTTTAGTCAGCCAAGATAGATTGCTTCCTTGCCTTCTCAGAGAACTGTCATTAGGGTGTCCAGAAGGCAGGGACCACCTCCAGTTTACTTTAGTATCCTCTAAAGTCTATGATTGTCCCCAGGGTCATAATAAATTCTCAAAATTCTTTTGTTAAAGGAAATTTAAAGAACACATTTAATTGACACCTTAAAATTCTTCTATGTAGTTATTCATGAATATCTAATAACCCTGAGCACAAAGGTTTTTAAAATGTGAAAATTATCACCGAAATGCCATATAATATTTGGTAACCATTAAATACTTTTTGCTATCAAAATTATTTATTCATTTAGTGAATGAATATTACATACTCTAGGCAAGTGCTGGGGGAAATGTGAAGCGTTGAGGACATTCCAGAATCCCTTGGATTGTTTCCTTCATAATCTTCTTGAAGTCAGTTTACCTCTGTTTTAGAAATGGTTTTAACCAAGAGATTTCTTGGCCTTTTGGATGTAGCTGTCCAGGAGCTCCCAGGCTTTAGCTCTGGACTCCTTTCCCCTTACAGTCCATGTGCTCTTTGTATGGGTGTTTAAATTTTGGTACTAAATGTGATAGTCAGGAAAGAAAAGAACCCACCACTGTTAGGTAACAGCAAATTCTTATGGAGATTTCAGTAAATGGTTATGAAACATCTCTCTTACTTTTATGATTTAGGAACTAACGACTCTTGATTACTTGAAGCTCTGATGCTAATATTAACTTGTCATTAGGTACTGAGTTGACTTTCCAGGAATAGTGTATGTAGAATGTCCATGACAGTTATGTCAGTGTACACTGAGTCTAACACCATACTTGAAGTGAAGGCAAAGAGTATCTTCTATGGTAGCAGGCTGGAGAATAGTAATTTTGCATTTCTGACTGTTCACATGTAGAGCTTCCAATTTGGGGTTTAACTCATTTCTGCTTATCACTTCCCTCCCTTTTTTTATCTTAGATAATTTTGACAGTTTGAGAAGGCAGAGACTCTGGAGACTGGCTGTGAGGACCTTAGAATATGAAAAGGGAGCGGGAAGATGGCATAATGACAGAGTCAGAGTAGCTGGCCACAGTATGAGGGTAGAAAAGAGACAGAAAGGCAGAAGAGAGGAGAGGGCATGATGTCATGCATGAAAGTAGATGCCACTTTTCCTGGGCTCCCGCTGAGCCTTGTGGGAAACTGTGTTATGTCCTTTCCATAGCATCGATGCTCACTCACTCGAGATTTATTTATGGTGGTTGAGCTTAAGCAGCTCTGCCCATACACTCCAGAGAAAAAGATCAGATAAGAGGCATGCTGTTGAGAAGAATGTATAAAATATCAGCAAGATTTTTGGCTCATGTCCTGAGTCTTTCTTTGAGTTACTTCGTTGAATGAGGCTAGTAGAGGTAGCCTTGCCATTTTAAGCATCTGTGGATAGGATGAGAGAGGCACAGAACTTAGACACATTTAGACATAACTCTGCACACACTAGCTCTTTTTTTATAGTTTAAGCCAAATGGCTTCACCTCACTTATTCTTTAAATCATAACTTATAAAACAGAGATAATGACAATAACAGTTTGTAGGATTGTTGATACGGAGTAGCAACGACCTACTTAAAATACTTGTGGTGATTAATTTTATGTGTCAACTTGTCTGAATTAAGGGTTCTTGGGTATTTGGTCACTCATTTCTGCCTAATTTTTGTGAGGGTATTTCCAGATGAGACAGGCATTAGAATCAGTAGATTGAGTAAGGCAGATTGCTCTTCTAACATGGGTTGCAGCATGTTGTAGGTCTTGGTGGAACAAACAGGTAGAGGCTTCAGTCTTATGTGCTTGAATGGGAAAGTCAGGGCATCAGTCTACTGCTCTTGGATGGGAAGTTTCACCATTGATGTTTCTGGTTCTCAGACCTTTGCACTCAAACTGGAATTGATGTGATTAGGTTTCTTCATTCTGAAACCTTCACACATAGACTGAAAGACACTACTGTTTTTCCTGGATCTCCAGTGAACAGAGGGCATGTTGCAAAACTTCCCAACCTCCATAATTATGCCATCTAACTCATTGTAATAAGTATCTTCCTAGGTTTATATACATATGTCTGGTTGATTCTGTTATTCTGGAGAACCCTGACTGATATACTTGTTAATCTATATAAATGCTAAGAGACCATTACAAGTAGCCATTGTTTGAAGTAAGAGCTACAGAACAAAGGCATAAATAACTTAGTTTTACTTTGCTCTAATTTGAGTACTTTTGAGTTGATAAAATTTATGATCCTTGATATCTACATATTCTTGTGGAGGTGCCATTTTAAAATTTATGATTCCCAATATCAATATATTCTCATGAAGGTGCCATTTTTGAGAGAAGAATCCCATTAGACAAGGATTTATTGAGCACCTATAATTTTATAAGCACAGTGCATACACAAGACTGTTTATTTTTTAATCACCACAGATAAGCAAACAAAAATATCTAAAATGAACTCAACAATAGACAAATAACTAACCAAAGGTAAGACATATAATAAGATGGTTCATATGGTAAAATGGCTGACAGTGTTTAAAAGTTGACATAATTAATTTTAACTATGTTCATGAAATTAGAGTGGCATAGAGAATAAAATTGTATGAATCGAAGAGGAGTGGGATATTTGTGCTAGAAATGGCTGTTTCAGCCAAGGCTTGGATGAGTGAGTAGAGCTGGTTTACATGGGGAAGGGGCCAGCAGACTGGGGTGGTGAGATTGGTCTGGAAGGAGAAATGGTTAAGTTAACTTGTTGAGACAAGTTCAGACAAAGTATGAGGAGACTGTAAAGGTGAATGAGTGCAAAACCAAACATTATCCCTAAAGGACAGGGTAGCTGAAGAGCATTAAAGGGAGATTTTATAGTGTTCAAGTTCATGGTATTAGTTGATTTTTAGTTTTGGCAGAGGACAGAAGGAGAAGTCCAGTCTGAGAAAGTAGGAATTGCCTTTTGACACTGAACTTGGGCATTTCATTGTTCTCTCATCCCTGAAACATAAGGGGCTACAGCTTTCCAGGTCTACTGCCCTCCCTGACATACCCTGGGCAGATTTAGCAGCACCTGTTTTGTTGGAACTTCAGTGGCACGAATGAGGAAGGCAGGGGAAGCAGCTGTATTGTGTTACTAGGGATGCATAAATACCACAGTCATTAGCTAGTCCAGGACCCATGAACTGGGCTATTATGAAAGCATTAGAGGAAGGTTGTTACCCAGTGAGTGAGCCCAGAGCTCATTCTGGGGACAGCAGTTCTGGGGTCGAAGGCAGCTCATTGAACTGTGGACATGCCTTGCCCAGGGAGTCAGCCATCCTGTGTCTTATCCTTTGGCCAGCAGTGATTTGGAACTGGGTTAGGATGAGCCATTCTTTATGGCAGACAGTCAGCAGTCATCTCCTTTCCCCTTTTAAAAATGCCTGTAGAATAGGAGCACTGTTATGGAAATTAGTTAGCAGCTGCTGTACATGAATGTTTAGAAAATTAATATTACTCACATTATACAGTACGGAAGCAGAATTTTAATGAAGCCTAGAAACTACAGGCACATTGACCCTTTCCCCTTATCAGAGAAATCTCAGAATGCCTAACTTTCCTTGAGAAAACTTCTCATTTCTACTTGGCTTCTATTGGGCCATTAGTGACAAAAATAGCACATTCACAACCCAAAGGAGCAAATATTTCAGAACATATTGTACTAAAATATGACACTGTCAGCTAAACCATTATCTACACTTATTTCTCATTATTAATTCTTAACAATTAGCTATTCTTTGTTGCACGGTAATGGGCTTTACTATATTATAAAAAATACTTTAAAGTCGTAAATGCCACACTTCGTTTGTGCTGATTCTGTCAGAGATGATTGTTATTTGTCCTCACCATTGGGAATGTTCCTGGAACCTGGGGTCACATATCAAAGTCAGCACAATGGCCTCAGACGACTCTGGGAAGCAATGGAAATTTATATGATGGCACCAGAGATGTCATCTTAGATGCATGAGGGAGAAAGGCACAAAAGGAAACCCCAGGGAAAGGACACAGAGGGAATTTGACTGAAGAAGGCAGGGTACACTTAGGGTAGAGGAAAAAAGAATGGTGCTGTTAGGAAGTCCTCAGATGCCATGAAGGAAAGGTGCAGGCAGGATTTGTCCAGGAGGAGCTCTGGGAGATGCTCAAAGGCAAGAGGACATGCCAATTAAGGCAGTTTAAGGAGGGGGAAGAGAAGAGGCATGCTTTTCAGATAAGATATCCATCTTTTATGTATTTTATAACCTCAACCCTTGCAAAATATGATACTGTCTGGTATTAGAACACACTATGTATATCTTGCCAAAGAAATTCAGGGTGACAGTGGAGAGAAGGTGAAATGGATGGGTGAGAAGAAGGGGAAACAAGAACAAAATGGACAAATAGCTAAAAACTACAAAGGGAGAGTGATGGGGAATGTACTACTTTGTATGTTTATCTTATCGATTATTGAATAAAATGCTGCTTGGCCAATGACTAGGATTCTCATTTGTTAGCTCAGTCTCAATTACCATACATCTATATATTTTATGGGACTCATCTTATGGGATGCCTTATTGGTGTCCCTCCTTGCTGGTGAATCACATTGTGCCACTGGAGCAGGAGCCGAGGGGAAAAGAGAGAGGGTCCTTCCTGTTTCTCTTTCACTTAAATATGAATCTCCTTGCTATGTCACTTCCTGCCTGGATCAGCACTTCTCTACTACATTTCCCAGAATCCTCTTTGACTCCTAGTTCCGTTTAACTTGCTGTCTCATTGGCCAAACAGTATTTTATTCAATAATCGATAAGATAAACATACAAAGTAGTACATTCCCCATCAGGAGAGATTTAGCTAGCTTCTGTAGAGACATTTGCCATGCACCAAAGTGTTATAGTCTCCCCTAGTCATTACCTAAATGTAATACTATCCACCCTATGGTAAAGTATGAGTGTGCTCCCACATCAAGATGTTTGATGACAGGCTAATACAGGTGAGCATAGTCCTTTGTCTTTGCTATGACTGTCACCCATATTGACTAAGTAATCGCTGGGTGTGGGCACTTGATGGGGGATGTCCTTCTGTACATATGTTTCTCTTATTGGTTGAATAAAACACTGATTGGCCAGTAGCCAGGCAGAAAGAATAGGCGGGGCTATGAGACGAGGAGAAGGCTGGGGAGAGTAAGGCAGAGAGAGGCCAAGAAGAGATGCCATGTGGCTGAAGGAGTAACATGCTGGATTATGGGTAAGCCAAAGCCTCATGACAACATATAGATCAATAGAAATGAGTTAATAGTTAAGACAGAGCTAGCCAATAAGAAGCCTAAGCCACTGGCCAACAGTTTAATAGTTAGTATATCTCTGTGTGATTATTTGGGGCTAAAGGGCAGCAGAACCTGGCAGGACAGAAACCTCCAGCTACAGACACTGGGTGATTTCAACCCTGATGCTGGTAGGGTACAATGCTGCTTGCTACCCACAGTGTATCAACAGCAATTTTGAAGGAGTGCTTTGGGTATGGCTTCTGTAGCTCACAAGGGCAGACAATCTGACTTCAGTCTAGGAGTTTGAAACTGGCCATAGAGAATGTATGTACACATTCAGAAATGGGCAAATGTTGCAAATAGGGGCTTCTTTCCTTTGCATTGCCATCTGATGACCTGTTGAGTGAACATTTATGTCACTGGATCTTTTCCTTTCAGATGACTCACAAGCCTGGTAGAGGTACACAAATTTCTTCAGAGAAGAGCAGATCTACTGGCCATTTCCTTGACTAAATTCCACATGAATGTGTTGGCTAATGGTGTCAGTAGAGGAGATAATCTAAGCATTGTGGGGACATTGTATATATGCCTGTGATGCTTCAGCTACATATAGAGACCCTATCTATAATAAGATGAAGATGAAGACAACGATGAAAGCAACGACAAAAATGAAGAGGAAAGATATGAATGCTGTCATGATTGGAATCACCACTAGGTCAGTCGTTTACACTACTGCCTTAATTGAGTTAATTCATCTCTGTAAGTCTGTTTCCTCAACTGTCCCATGGGGATCCAACATCTACCTTCCAACACTGTCAGGTTTCACAACAGTATCTCTGTAATGCCTGCATGCCCAAGAAGTCTGCAATTTATTTTGAAGCAAATTAGAAAGATGACTTGATGGATGAATACTGACTGGGATGAATACAAGGTTAGACACTTGAAAGTACAATTATAGCAAGATCACAGAACCCAGGTGGAGAGTTTACATGCACTCATTGCAAATCATTCAGCTGTTCTCTAATTTTCACAATAAAATGCTGAAACAAAAAAGCAATGAAATGGTAGTAATGATAATAACAACATCAGATAAAAATTATAAAAACAGAAATGACTCTATATATACCTTCTATATGTTCCTCTTCCCTCACTTCCCTGTAGCTCCAGTGATCTTGACGCTTCTGTAACACCTCTGGTTGGGTCTCTTCTACACTTAGTCCTTCTGCATAACTGAATGCTCTTAGCTGTTTTGCTGGCAGCTCATCTCAGGTCTTTGTTTACATTTTATTGTCCTGCTCTAGCACTGCTGACCTGCTCTGTATTGACAATTGTAAACCTCAGTCACTGGCATGCTCTGGTCTGTCACTTAGCTGTATTTCCCTCCACTTACCAAAATCTACCACACAGTGTATTTTTTTACATGTTTTGTCATCTCCCCCCTACAAGAATGTAAAATCTACAAAGACAGGGAATTTAATTTGGTCACTGTTGCTTTCCCAATGACAGATTCAATATCCGTTACCTAATAACTGCTCAATAACCATTTGCTGAAGCAGAGACAGAAAATAACTATCTTGGCTGACCTATAGCTACAGCTGGAATGAAGGCAACCCTCCTAGTTGGGTCCCTGAAGAAGCAGATCTTGATAGAAGGCTTCAAAGTGTAGGGGAAGAAAAACATTTATTTTATTTTAATTTTCAGTTTTTATAGGTTCCTCATCTCCAAGACAAACACAGTGGAAAACAAACCCAAGTTGACTGAGTACACCTATGGGATATGGAGGGAATGGGTTCTCAAAAGCTGGCTTTGGAACCTAGTTCATATGGCATCTTTAACAAAGAACAGAGCATTTTTCAGAAGAGACACAAGACAAAAGAAAATTAAATCGTGTCCCTAGGCATGGAAGTTTAAGGGGGGAGCAAAATAACTGATGGATAAAGCTAGTTAGTAGAGCTTTTTAATGTACATTTTTCCAGAACCATCTCTAAGCTGAGGATATACAGGTATCCTCAAGAGAGTGCAGAGAGCTCTCTCATATCTGTTTCAGCTGAATTATCTTCATTTCAATAATCTCCTAAAAGGGGTGCCATATACAGATCTCTCAGAAGATCACTTGAGTAACCCCAGGAAACAGTGGTTAGGGTAGAGAAGGAATCTAGGAATGGAAGGCAGTTACTAAAGGACACCTGGTGAGGTTAGTTCCCAAGATTAGATGCTGGAGCTTCTCCTGGTGCTGATAGGGTCCACTCATAGAGCTATCTGACTGAGGGAGGGGGCTGGGATTTGAATGGGCCAGTTCCCATCATTCCTTTCCTGAGGGCTGCTTGGGTGTGTGTTTGAGACTTCTGACTTGTACTTTTGGGACAAAGATGCTCAAGGAGCATTTGTCAAGAAATCTCTCTGTCAAGAGATGTAGATTATGGTCCTTAGAAGTTCAAATGGGGACAGAGAAAAAGATGGATGGGCTCTGCGAAGAGAAATAAAACTGGAGTTATGGTCACAGGTATGAGAGCGCAGCCGCAGTGGACAAAATAACATTATTTGGTTGCTGAATAGGTTGGGGCCACCACAGGGCCTGCTGCTGGTGCTGTGCTCAGCTCACAGGCTTGGCCCTGCTGTTGTTCATGCTGCTGGGGGCGCCCCCCCCCAGGAAAGCAAGGCCCCACAGTGTTGCCTTCAGGCTGCAAACAGGTTGGTTGTGCCTGGAGTACCTGCAGGGTGGCCAGCCTGAGGACAATGTGTACAGCAGCCTGGAGCTCTCAAAGGTCCTGTACCCAGACACACTGCCCAACTGCAGGATCACCCTGACTTTGAGCAACAATAAGATATACAAGATGAAGAATAGCTCACTTTCTGAGTTAAGTCTCCTCGAAAGATCAGAGCTGCTACAGGAAACCATGCTGATGTTTGTGATCCTTGATGCCACCAAAATCCACACTGCTGCTTGAAATTCGTGCTGCCCCCCTAAATCATGTTGATGTCCGTGGTCTGTGCTGCCGTGGGCTGCTTTGGGCAGGGAAGTTACTTCTGCAGTGGTATTGATGACTGCAGACTCATACCTGAGAATGACAGACATTGAATGTATCTCCTCACAATTCTCACAGCTGATGGCTTCTGGTGGGGGTGGGGAAAGACTCAGTTATCTTTAAGGGACTGGCCACTGGCAGTTTGACCATGCTCCAATGAGTATATGGATAACACAAATTAGACTTTTTTCTTTTGAGGGCACAAAGGTGGGAGGTAGGACCTGGGAGGAATGGGAAATGAGAGTGGGGTGCATTGTATGAAGTTTCCAAATAATTAATACAAATATTATGCTGGGGAAAATAAATTTGAACTTTGGGAAAAAAAAAAGTTCAAATGGTGTTAAGGAAGTGACATGGCTCAGGATGAATGTGGAACACCCAGAGGATCTGTCATGGAAAGGGAACTTCTGTGAGTTTGTAAACCAGGATTGCTAGTAGAGGGTTTGACCTGAATATCACTTATTCTTGAAAATGGCTTACAAAAACATCTGAGAGATTTTGTTCTTTTCTAAGCTTGTATTGAAGCTTAATCTTATTTCCTAGATCCCAGATACTCTACTAGTTAAATAAGTCAGAGCTTGTTTAGTTCATAGAGGAAAAAGTATTTTTTTACCTATTATGCAAAATTTAAGATAGCATATTCTTTTTAGCAATGACCCAATGAATATTAATCTCACACATAAAATAGGAGCCATTGGAACAAAATGGTATTTGTAGATCTCAAAGTGAATGTGCTGACAGTAAAAAAGAAAAAATCCAGAATACCAGAGAAATCCAAACCAGAATTAAGTATCTCATAAAACCTCCATGTTTCACTGATTGCTGTTTATGACTAAAGCTACTAAGTTGGGCCAAAGGGAGAGATACAGTCCCTTACAGGAAAAACAAACAAACCAAAACACTGCTCCCAGAAGCAAAAGGTTATTTGGAACTTAACAATAAAGTCACCAAGCTTGAAGGAAACCTAGAGACTTATGGCTGCACTGTTGTTCCACCCAGAACCACATTTAATTTTTATGTATATAAAGTCAAACTGCTCGATTTAGTGACCTTCATCTAGGTAGTTGGTACTGTGGGAGCCTGGGAAATGACTTGGGGTGCTTAGTGAATTTGTGGGTTTTGACTGGTGTGGTTCAGTAAGAGGAGCAGCTAAGATTTCATCTTGGGCAGATAGACAGACTGGCTCTTAGCCTCCTGCCCCTCCTCTTAGTTATTCTGCTGCAGGGTAGATGGTGGCCTTGGTGAGTTGTTCTTTGGCTACAGAATGGGGATTGAAATATCTCACCCTCCACTCTTGGCCTCCTCCCTTCTGACTTTTCCTGATGAAAGAATTAAATGGAATAAAATATGAAAAGTGTTGTTTGGTACTTATGATTGGTACCTAATAAATGGCATCAATGTCCAGTCATTCCTTTGTTCAGTGAATGTTTATTGAACACCTACCATGCCTAGGAACTAGTCAATGTTCTTGGGATTCATCACTGATCAAGATAGGTAAAAATTCCTGCCCTGAAGACATCGGTAGTCTAGTGGGAAGGATTCAGGTAGAAAATTAGCATTTGATGTACATTGTAATTCTGATTTCAACTCATAAATGCTGTAGAAGAAGGAAAATGGGATGTGGTATGCCAGGAGGATAATACTGGTGCTTTGACTTATGGCATAAAGTTTTGCTTAATAACAAAGAGGACATGGGATATGGATTCCAGGTCCAGGGAAGGGTCAGAGCAGAGGGTCTACTGTCTCCATCTGATACAGGAATAATAAGAAAGTCAACTGGGCTTTATAGAGGAAGCAAACGTTGGCAGGGCAGGCGGAGGAACATGGAGTTAGAGTGTAACTTTTGTGTTAGAGAAATGGATTGATCTTGTTGGTTCCAGTGTATCACTGTGAGGACTTTGGTTTTCTGTTGAGAGAAATGAGAAGTCACTGCAAGGTGTGGATGCCAAGTGGAAACTTGACCCATATTACTCTTGAAAAGATCACTTCAGCTGCTCTATTGAGAATGGACTCTGGAGAGACAGTAGGCATAAGAGATCTATCTGTGAGAAGGTGACTGGAGTCACTAAGGTAAGAGATTCGGAATGACCTGGCCTGGGACAGGGGATGGTGGAAGTTGTTTCCATGACAAGTGCTGGGAAGTGTTTGGATTCTGGTCCAACCAGATGAGGGAAGCGATGTCACCTACTGGTAAAGTGTGTTGAGATCTGATTGGCATGGGCTTTGGGGAGGAACCAGTCAGTGAACACAATCAAAAGGCTCAAGGAGTTTGATTTTGAAGAGGAGGAAGAGAAGCAGGAAAGAGAAACAGCTCAGCTGACAAAAGTGCTTGCCTTATAAACATGGAGCCCTGAGTTCAGCTCTCAGAACCCCTGGGAAACAGCCAGGCATAGATTGCCATCACTGATTGGGCCTAGTGAGTTATATATAAAATCAAAGTGAAGACATGAAGTTAGGAAGGAGCCATGACATGGGGGTGGATCTAGAGGGCTTTGGGGTAGGGTATGTGTGTGGTAAATATGATTGAAACACATTTTATGCGTGTATGAAATTCTTGAAGAGTAAATACAATATTATATTTTAAAAAAATCTGTGTGTGGTGATGCGTGCTTGCAATCCCAGAACTGGGCAGGCAGAGTCAGGTGGTTTTTTGGGGGCTCCCTGGCAAGCCAGCCTAGATGAATCGGTGAGCTTCTGGCCACTGAGAGTTCCTGTCTCAAAAAAAAAAAAAAAAAAAAAAAAAAAAGTGGTCAGCACTCAAGGAGCAAGGGCTGAGGCTGTTCTCAGGTTTACACGTGTCTTCTACCATGAGTGTGCACCTACTCACACAGAAACAGGCAGACATTGTCTCTCTCTCTCTCTCCCTCTCCCCTTCCTCCCTTGCCCCCACACACTGCAGGGTGAGGGGAGGAGAAAAGGGGCAAACGGACATCAGGTGGCAGGAAAGGTGAGAGTCTTTCTCATAAACAGAGCCTCCTTCTCATATAAGAACAGCCCAGAGGGAGCTCAGATAATATGAGAGGAATGCTGTAGTGGACCTGTTCTGAATGCTCCATGAGCCCATTCCACCCTTATGGTGGCTATTCTTCGATATCAACTTGACTATTTCTGGAAGTAACTAAAATCCAAAAGTGGAGGGTGTAAGAATCCAGGCATTATGCTGGCCTGCCCGTGTTACCTGGCATCTTCTCGGCCTGCTGCTTCCCACCATGGCTAAGCCTATCTCAGGGCGTGATCCTTTTTCTGCCTGGGAACCCCCTGTTTGGCTAGACATTTTAGAGGGCACACCAGTGAGTGATTTTTGCCTAATTTGAAGTAGGTAGATCCACTTCTAATCTGGACCATTGAGGTAGAAACACACACACCTTCAATCCAGATCTTGAGTCCGGAAGACCTTTAATCTGGGTCACATTTTCTGCTGGAGGACTATAAGGACACGGAAGAAGGAAGCGTTTGCTCTTTGCCTGTTTGCTTTCGCCTTGCCTGAAAGTCCTTTCCTTCACTGGCATTAGAGCTGATTTCTTTGGGATTCCAGTATGTACTGAAGACTGGATTTTCTGTTCATAGTCAGCCATTGTTGGATTAGCCTGTAAATTATTCTAACAAATCTCCCCTCACCCACACATATATTCATTCTATAAGTTTGGTTACTCTAGAGAACCTTGACGAATGCAACGCTCCAGTACCCCTAGGAGGTTGGTGGTGTTATGATCATCTCCACCAAAACATTAAAATCCAAATGTGGTTCTGTGATATGCTTTCTTCATGTAAAACACATCATGAATTACCATGTCAGTATATGAAGCAGCTCCCTTTTCAGTTGCTACAGAATGCACTGATGTATTCAGTCTTTCTTCTTTTGATGGGAATTAAGGTTAGGTACACACTTTGATGTGTTTGGTATTACAAACAATGCTACAATGAACAGTCTTTTGTTCCTATGTGCAAATACTTCTGTGATAGGAGTCTTGTATATATTTATTTCTATATGATGTATGAATACTTCTATACATGGGAGTCTAGATACAGAGAAGGTGAGTAGAAAGGAAGATTTATTTATAGTATCAATGATTTGGCCAACTGGATCCCCAGTGCTGGCACCAATGTAGTTTCTCACTAAGAGGTCACCACATGGAGCATGTATCCCCAGGGTCATAAAGTATATTATTGTCCTATGCACTTTAAAAAATTAATCTTTTAAAATTTTAACTATATATATATATAATTTCCTTCTTCTCTTTCCTCCTTCCAAACCTACCAATATACCCCTTCTTGTGCTTTCTCAAATTCATGGCCTCTTTTTTTTCCTGAATTGTTGTCACATATGTGAATCTATGTACATATATTCTTTTTTTAAAGATTTATTTATTATGCATACAGTGTTCTGTCTTCATGTTTGCCTAAGGGCATCAGATCTCATTGAAGATGATTGTGAACCTCCACGTACTTGCTGGGAATTGAACTCAGGACCTCTGGAAGAACAGTCAAGACACTTTACCTCTGAACCGTCTCTCCAGCCAATGAACATATATTCTTAAATATATAGATTCAACCTGCTCAGCCTGTATAATGTTACTTGCATACATATTTTCAGGACTGACTATGTGGTATTAGCTAACCAACCGGTGTGCTCTTTCCAATGGGAAGACTATTTTTCCTGCTCGGGTTTCTGAGTTTCTGCCTCTTGCATGACAGATTATGATAGGATTATTTTAAAAATCGCTGCTGGCAAAGTTGCCTGGTACATCTGGGTCTTTATGCTCCTGTAGGTTCATTACCAGTTACTAAACATTAGCAAACTTTGGCGACAGCTCTAAAATGAAGTAGTGAGGTGTTGTGTCTCCTAGAAGGGCTGATGACATTCTAGTGACAAAGCTGCAAAGTGTTAACAGCATTACTTAAAGGTCACCGGATGCGGGATTAAATTGTCACTAATCTATTTTTTATGCCAATGTGAAATTGATAATTCAAGGGAAGCAGGTTTTCTTATCAGTTAATGTCACAGTGTTCAATAATTATTGTATTTATTATTTCCCCATTCAAAATTAAAATTCTGATTGGCGAGGAAGCCATTTATGAGTCTGGGGAGAGCCTTTGACATTTAATATAATCCCCCAATAAGTCAGATGGGTAGCTGTTTTGACGAAAGCTGTGGACAAAGTGCTATTAAACCAAATGCGAGGAAGACATTATTTTGTAAATAACTATGGTGATTAAAGCTTTGTTGCACATCATTAAAAATGTGTTACTCCATCTCTATTACTTCTCACTAATGTGGTTCAGCAAGAGAGGCCTCAGTTCGAAGAAACAGAGAAAGGAAAGATCACACATTTAGATGCAAACTTAAATCATTATAGAAGTCTGGTAACTGCATCATAAAAGACTGAGGTGAGTCTGCTTGCTGGTCCTTTAAGAGTGTCATCATATCCTTAGCAGTCACAACCTTCTGGAACTTTCTAACAGAATTTGCTCTATGATTTATGTAAAGCCACTTCAGCGTTGTCCTGTCCTTGTACCAGCTGGGACTTACTGACCAAGTGAGAAGTTTAAAAAGTCAGTATGGTCTCATTCAGGCAACATGACTTCTGCCAAGCATCCAGCCCCCCCACTGGGCCAGCATTATTGCTCATACAATTAGTGATGGCTGCCTGGGTGAGGCTCCCTGCAGCAGCCACTCTCCCAAGTCCATCCATTTCCCCTCACTCAGCATGCCTGCTCCTGGCTCATTTCAGCTTTCATTAGCCTCTGTGGCTTCTGGCCACGAAGGTGTGGCTCACCTAATCCCAGACGGTCTTCAGTGCAAAAATAAAACACCCCTGCAACTTGGCGGCTCCATTCTTGTCGTTGAAGTATTTAACTGGAGGCTGAAAAACTTAGTTTCTATATCCAGGCCAACCCCATTAGGAGGGAACCATCACAAATCTGATGTTCTCCACAACAAAGTTTCTTTTTGTGTAAAGGACAGGAAGCTACACTAGCCTCTCTCCACACATTTAGTTGTAATTCATGAAGACATATGCAGCCTTGTTAGGGGTCAGTTGGGACTGATGGTCCAGGTTCGGGTCTGGCTGAGCCCTACGAGACTGAGGACTGGTTTGGGCCAGAAGGCACTAGATTTCACTTGAGGTAAATCATAGCTTCTGTGCTTATTGTAGATGAGTGTCACATATATTGAATATTATCTTAAGTAAAAATGGCCCCAGAAGTGTACCTAAGGTGTTTAAGAATCTTTTTTCTCATGACCCTAGGCCACCCTCCAACAGTTAAGGTTGTCATGCATGAAGACAAAGGGGCTGCTTAGTCCCTCCTGGTCAGTCTGGTCAGAATAAGCATTGCTGGCCTGTGATTCCAGCTAATGGATTGGCATTACAACCCATCACTCTGGTTTCAGCTGCCTGCCCTCAGGTATTTATAGAGCTTAGGAAGATATGCTAATATTCTGGTTCACTTGACATTGGAACCCTCATACTCATCCAGGGCACATGGCCCGAGACAGGTATTTTCCAAAAGAAATGGTCATGTTGTATATAGAAATGAGGGGCAAGGCCTGGCCAGGACTGTTCAAATTAACACTGTGTAACTAAGCCTTGACCTGGACTCCTCAGAGGAGAAGTAAACACAGGGTTATTGTGGTGTATGCTTCCATACATAAAGAAGATAATGAAATGGAAAGTGTGTATGATTTGTATGAACTACTGTCACATCACTGTGCCTACATATTTGATAGAAGCAACTTTTTGATTTATTTGTTTTTACGCATACAGTGTTCTGCCTGCATGTGTGCCTGTACGCCAGAATAGGGTATCAGATTTCATTACAGATGGTTGTGAGCCACCATGTGGTTGCTGGGAATTGAACTCAGGACCTTTAAGTTAAGAACAGTAAGTGCTCTTAACTGCTGAGCCATCACAACTTAATGAGGAAAGATTTATTTTGGCTCACGTTTCAGTTGTTATGGGCATGGAAGGCACAGAGAAGTTCATCTCATCACAGGAGTGGATGGTAGAGACTGTTCACATCATAGTGGACCATAAGGTTGAGGATGGGGTAGGAACTGCAGCCCAGGCTATACCCTTTAAAGGTCCATCTCGAGTGACCTGCTTTTGCCAGCTAGGTTCTACCTTCCAAAAGTTCCAGAGCCTGCCAACACAGCATCCCCCCCCCCCTTGGAGAACAAAAGCTTAAAACATGAGCCTGTGGATGACATTTTAGAGCAATCCATAACCCAGTTTGCACAGTCCATCTCAGAGAGCTAATTAGGAGCAGGAGAAAATGAAATAAAAAGTTTTGTATACATAATGCTCAATAAACAGTTGCGATTCCTGCTAAACTTTGCATCAATCATTATGTCAAAAATACCTTACAAATAACTTTTGCAGAAGAGTTAATTTATCTTATGGTTTTGGAAGTCCTCAGCTACTGGACTTGAAAGAAAAGGCTGGTAATAAATGAGGGCTTACACTCAAAGGAAATTATCATTTTTTCTTGTATAAAGGTGTCTGT